ATACCTCTAGTGTAATATGAAGTCTGAAATAGAAGACTATGAACTGGGATGTAGAAAAAAAATTAAGCCATATTCCCAAAACTCTTGAGTTTGCATTTTAAAACTACTTGGTAAGGAGTGCATCTTAAATGTTGTTGTACCTCAGGTCAGAAAGTCTGTGCTTGTTCAATAAGTTGAGTTCCTATTTTATGACATAAGAGGCAAATAGTTTTGTATTACAATCTAATCGATCTCACCACTTTCCAAAAAGACCTAAGACATTTATTTACACAAGAAAGTGCAAACTCTTCCATATCTACCTCTGCACTCCACTTTCAATTGCACCTTTAATGAAATGACAGAGGACACTAACTCTCAGAATGGACATTAGGATACAGTGAATTGTGGAAGAGGCAAAAGTCAGAGAGTAAACATCCTTGATGAAGCTAACAAAGTGGATAAAGTTTATGGGTAATAACCTGTATATTCCACATAAGATTAGCTACTGTTCTAGAGATATTCAAGAGACAACAAACTGAAAAGTATACTCCAGTAAACAGATTAAAACTACAAAGCTTTTATGGAAGTACAGGTTGAGTATCCCTAAGCTGAAAATCTGAAATCTAAAATGCTCCAAAATCTGAAACTTTTGAGCTCTGACATGACACTCAAAGGAAGCATGCATTGGAGGATTTCAGATTTCAGGTGTTCAGATCAGAAAGGTTCAATTAATTTGTAAGTATAATGAAATTTTCCAAAATCCAAAAAAATCTGAAATCTGAAACACTTCTGGTCTCAAGAATTTCAGAGAAGGGATATCCAACCTGTATTACAATGACATAAAAATCAGAATAATAAAAATTTAGAAAAAGTAGATTAGGAAAGTAAGAATTTGTCAGTAAGCACCTTGTTTTGTTTAAAGGAAAAAGATACTGTATCTAGGGAATGATCCTGTAATTCCTAAAAAAGGCACATGGTATGTGTGGACCTTATAAATGGTAAGCTGTGAGTATGGGTTTCATGAATCATAGTTTGTTCACATCTGGTGAAAAGACTCAAGATTCCAGGCCCCAAAGGTAAAGGAAATGAAACTGATTGCTGGCTGAGCTCAGCAGGGTTCACAAAAACTCAAGGGTCTTCTTGAATAGTTCCTCCTGATGCTTCAAACAATCAACAGACAATATAGTCTTCAAAATAATCTTCAGAAACAATCAATAGACTGTGTAGTCAAAGACAAGTGACTTAGAAATAAACTCGCTATGTCCATACTACTCACTGAACTTGCCTACTGAAATTTCTTTTCAATTGATAAATCTCTATTTAGTGGATGTCTCCAAATTATACTTTTGTTAACAATTCAAGGTCCATTTTAGTCCTTATCGTTTCACTAAAATGACTACTTCAAATACGAGTTTTCAATTTAAAGTAAGTGAAGATATAAATGCTATGAAAAAGAAGTACCACAGAAATGTCATTAAGCTTCATCAGTGTAACATACCATGATCCACCTGCAATTCCATTTCACTGTGTCAGAATACATGAGAAATTACAGAGTAATCAGATTGCTTAAGTCAATTTTCATCAAAAGAAGAAAATGTACATGGTAGACTATTAAGATAATAAATCTATTTCATGTGGACTGGAACATAAGATATTTTTAAAAACCTTCCTTTAAAGCTTATCATTTACAGTTTATTATAAAAAATAAAATGTCTTAAATCATATAAAAAAAGCATATGAAAAACATAAATAATTCATTTTAGAAAGGAATATCAGAAAACAATTTAAAATTTAAAACTTTGTGTATGTTGTGTGCCAGGCACTGTTTTAAGAGCTTTACACATATTGACTCATTAGTTGTCATAACACTATGAGCTAGATATTCTTGTCATTCTCATTTTATAGACAAGAAAACTCAGGCTCAAAAAGGTTAAATAATTTTCCCAAGGCTACACAGCTAAGAAAGCATGGCCAGCATTTGAGTTTAGGCAATCTGGCTCTGGAAGTTATGCTCTTAAATATTCCACATCTTCTCATACCTCCATGTCTCTGATTATGTTGTTCCCTCTGCTTGGAAGGCTCTTAGGCTCATCCACCTGATTAACTCTTATTTGTCCTTCAAAATTGCTACAATCCTCACTTTTTCAGAAGTGTTTCCTGACAATACCACCCCATCCAGGTGAGAGATCCCTTGTTACTATACTTCTGGAATACCTGCCCATATCTCTATTAAAACATGTATGCTGAACATAGTATGTTTCCCCAACTAGATTGAATTATTTGCAAAGACTGTTTTGATTATTTCTGCAACTCCAGAGTAGTAGAGTACCTGACACATAATGAGACTCTAATTAACCAAAAGATTAGTCCTGATTAAAAGTATGTAAAAGAGGGCTGGGCACAGTGGCTCAGGTCTGTAATCCCAGCATTTTGGGAGGCCGAGGCGGGCGGATCACCTGAGGTCAGGAGTTCGAGACCAGCATGGCCAACATAGTGAAAACCCGTCTCTACTAAAAATACAAAAACTAGCTGGGCATGGTGGTGCACACCTGTAATCCCAGCTACTTGGGAAGCTGACGCAGAAGAATTGCTTGAACCTCGGAGTCGGAGGTTGCAGTGAGCCAAGATCTCACCATTGCACTCCAGCCTGGGTGACAAAAGTGACACTCCATCTCAAAAAAAAAAAAAAAAAAAAAAAGGCATCTGAAAGAAAATATATCATTCAAATATCATAAATGCTCCAACATTGTAAGGAGTGCATCTTAAATGTTGTTGTACCTCAGGTCAGAAAGTCTGTGCTTGTTCAATAAGTTGAGTTCCTATTTTATGACATAAGAGGCAAA